TAATTTCAAAAACTACACCTCTGCACAAACTTTATTTGAAAAATATATATCACAACATGCTACTGTGCTAGCGAAACATGTTGTGATATATTCTTCAAATGAAGTTTGTGTAGATTTTGAAATAACTATGGATCTTCATCAAGCAACGGCCGAATCAATAAAAAAAAAGTTATTCATGATATTATTATGTTTACTTATTTCTACACTCTCATAGGCATCTAGATTCCTGTTGTTATTAACTTGTCTAACTGATCTTAATGAACTAAAGTCTATGGAATCCATAGACATAATTTTGACTTAGATGACTGGGTCATGTTGGTTAATGCGACTTATTAATTATCGATTAACTTTAATGTTCACACTAGTTAAGGAAATCACAGGCAATTTAAAGCTGATGGAAACCTTCGAATAACAAATAATAATTTTATTCATCAAATGAACCATTTCAGAAATCATCTCCAATATTACTTCAACGTCATATGGTATTGAGGGCAAAGATTAGAATATCCGTATCCTTAATGATACTATAAACCTGAAACAGCTAACAATCATGTTTGTCCACAACTCAAACCTCCTATAATCATCATTATTTTTTTATTTGCAGTGTTCTGGATGTCCAAATGCCCTCAATGGAACATATAAATGTGATTGCAAGGGGCTCAAAGGAAGAACAGGAGCTGAAGGTATTATGGGATTTCCAGCTACACAGGGTGATTATGGAGACATTGGTCCTCCTGGTCCTAAAGGATCAAAAGGAGAGAAAGGCGCTGAAGGGGAATTTGGGTCGAGAGGAGAGAAAGGTCCTAGGGTGAGTTCAAAAAAATAACAAATGGCTTCATAGATAGTAATACACACCGCAGAGATTTTTTTTCATGTCTGCTTCTTGTCAATGCCACTTTTGAGATTCCTTATAGTTTCAGTAGTTTACCTTAGACATACATTTAACATTCCTACACCTATTTTTATCATCTATATGAAAGACTTTTTTTGGATAAAAATATACATTACTAGTTCTATTTTTATTATTATCATTTATGTTTCTTCAAATGAGATGGCATTTTGTTTTAGGGTGACGACGGATTCAGAGGGATGACGGGAATTGCGGGACGTCCAGTAAGTAGATTTTTTTATACTAAATTTGATTGTCGACAGTATATATTGTGGTGTTCATGAAAGGAACAATCTAGTTCCACCATCTTTTAATTTTTTTTGTTATTGGTAATACGTTAACAGAGGACATCAACGTCCTCGTAAAAATCAATGGGTTAACACTCAAAAGTTGAAAATTATGCTGAAATTGGAAAGGCCAATAAACCTTATAAAAATCCTGATAAGTATTCAAGAAACCCAACACGTGTTTCGCTAAACAATAGCTTCTTCGGGCGTGCCTATACTAAATAAAATCTACATATTCAATGCTTTTTATTACCTGAAGTACCTCAGTTTTATTAATGTCAAAAATGTGTACCTTACTTGAGAATGAATCAATTAACATTAAAACTTTAACTCATGTATCAGGTAATTATCAGTTTCCACATTTGAAAAAATGTTCAGTAACGGGAAGTTATTCCATTCAGAAATTATCCCGAATTCCCAAATATATTCATTTCTAAACATTCTTGAAGATTGAATTTCAAACTTTTTCCTTCTAATTGTTTGTTACACGTCATATTCTTGATTGAATTCATGCTAACAGATGGTTTGCAAATGTGGAATTGATCTTTCCATTCGAGAAACTACATACTTCTATGCACTTTAATTCCTTAGAAAAAAGTTCTTTCCATTTGGCCGATATAAAGTTCTGAGCAAGAGCCACAAGTCTACTTCTATACTCCTGATTTATCCGACAGTGTAGTTTTGTCTTTATTGTTTTAAATGAATTTGCTTTAATCATTATCAGTTCTGTACGCCACGTCCAAGACAGAGCTGAGTTTCGTCAAACAAATCGCTGTCAATAACTTAATAATAATGTAGTAAATATCTACATTGATATGTAGATATTTACTACATTATTTCTACATTATTATCTACATCGATATGTAGATATTTACTACATTATTTCCAAAAAACTACAAAAACAAGCCATGGACCAGGTCTACCCCAGTTCAAGAAACGATACCGAACGATACCGAATGCACCTGCATTCATTATTCTGACTCCTACCCCAGAGTATGTGTTTGTGGAATTGTTTTTGGACTTTGTCTGCAGGTGGCGCAGATAGAGCTTATGACTAGTTGGAATTTTGTTTTTTCGGGATACTCAAACGGTTCAATCCGTCTGAAATGACCCTGTCGGTACTGACGAGGAGCTAATACTCCGAAACCCGTCAATTGGCGGTCGTCCCGACCAAATTAAATTTATTTCAGCTTTTCATATATAGGAAATTACATGTGACGAATCATCCATATGGCGGCATTAACTAGATTAGTTGTTTTTCCGTCGGGTATCTGTCACACGTATCTACAAAGTCATAGGTTCACATGAGTGGCGTTTTCACCTGAACTAGAATATGCTCCTCTCCGGTAGCACTTGCATTGAAATCAAATTGGGAATAGTACTCATCTATATATCTTTTGATTTTCATGAAATTTCATGGAATTAACCTTTCTTGATGCGCTGCGAGGTTTTTGTGACTTGACGCCGGGGTCTCAATCTGCCTACCCTCCAGATCTCGTCGCTGGTTTCTGCAAGGATCTCAATCTGCCTACTCGTAAGCGTTGATTCTCATGGAATTAATTTTCAACAGCTTGACTGCATCAACCTTTCTTGATGCGCTGTAAGGGTGTTGTGACCTGACGCCGGGGTCTCAAACTGCCTACTCCCCATGTCTCATCGCTGGTTTCTGCATGAGTGTAAATCTGCCTACTCCCATGCATTTCTCGTCGCTGGTTTCTGCAAGAGTCTCAATCTCTCTACTCCCAAGCGTTGATTTCTATGGAATTATTCTCTAGTAGCTTGACTGCATCAACCTTCCTTAATGCGCTGTGAGGGTTTTGTGACTTGACGCCGGGGTCTCTATCTGCCTACTCCCCAGATCTCGTTGCTGGTTTATGCAAGGATGTCAATCTGTCTACTCCCGAGCGTTTCTCGTTGCTGGTTTCTGCAAGGATCTCAATCTGCCTACTCCCAAGCGTTGCTTTTATGAAATTATTTTCCAACACCTTAACTGCATCAACCATTCTTGATGCGCTGTAAGGGTGTTGAGACTTGACACCGGAGTCTCACTCTGCCTACTCCCCAGGTCTCTTTGCTGGTTTTTGCAAGGATGTCAATCTGCCATTCCCAAGAGTTTCTTGTAACTGGTTTCTGTAAGGGTTTCAATCTGCCTACCCCTAAGCGTTGAAATTATTTTGCAACAGCTTGACTGCTTCAACCTTTCTTGATGCGCTATAAGGATTTTTTGACTTGACACCGGGGTCTCAATATGCCAACTTCCAGGTCTCGTTGCTAGTCTCTACCAGGGTCTCAGTCTGCCTACTCCCAAGCGTCGAATGTGGGACCACAGATTGTGGTCTTGTATTGAAGTCCCTAGACGAGTGAAGGGGTGGATCAGTAGCGATGGTGAAGTTGATAGTGGGAACGGGATTGTGACTTGCATAAGCGAGGACAAGAGGTATGAATCGGACTGAGCCAGTTTTAGTGTTCGAATATTTCGAACCATAAATCACAAATATTTGGACAATTTTCCGCTTCTTGTCTCTATAATTATTCCGCATCTGCTGTCTATAATTCTGCCTGGTAGAGAGGTCAGTAACGTAGAACAGTATCTAATTCTCAGTTATTTTTCTAACGTTTTTCAAATGATTGATCATGATCCTTTTTTGTCTGAAAATGTGCATTCCTATTCGTTTACCAAACCTCGTTCTTCATCCTTATATCATATACAATTTCAATATTTGTTATTACGATTACATTTACGAAACAACTGAGAAAAAATAAATGATAACTTCCCAACTGAGAGAACATAGATTTTCATGTTTTGGGTTTGGAAACTCTAATATAAACTGTAACATTACTGTAACATAACACTGTAACTGTAACATTAGTGATCTGTAATTGTAGTGTTTTGCGCATTGAATATGTGCAGGTGTCCAACAGTTCGAAATACAGAACCAAAACAAACCTATTCATCTTCGCTACAAAAGCGTTATGTCCAAAATGAACTATGATATAATCAGTTCAAATTCAATTTTGAAAGAGGTTGATACTGTCACAGTCACTGTTTAAATAAATGTTTGCATTTTCGTAGAATTGAATTTATAGTTTGAACATTTCATTGCGAATATTAATAGGGAATTGACATTGGAAACCTCAATAAAAGCTGCCTTTTTGTCTAGTTCATATGAAAATCTGGTGGATTTTTTGGAATCTACTATAAATTAATCACACTTGATTCTAGGGAGAACCTGGTGAATCAGGTGTTAGAGGCCCAGCGGGACTTGATGGTTGCAACGGGACTGATGGATTACACGGAGTTCAAGGACAACCTGGACGACAAGGAATTCGGGGACTTCCTGGACCAGAGGGGCTTCAGGGACCCAGAGGAGAACCTGGTGATGGAGGAGGTAACTCACTAGGAGTGAAGGGAGAAATGGGTGTTCCGGGATATGATGGAGCTCCGGGAATACCTGGTCTTCAAGGACCTAGAGGTTCTATTGGATATAGAGGTCCTCCTGGTGACCAGGTGAGTTTTATCTGTTCATCAGATTATACTGAAAAAGCCAAATTTTGTTCGTGAATCATAAAGTTCCTCTTCTAAGGAAATTACTTCTTTTACAGAACAATTATTTTTGAATATATACAGGCCTTCGATAGGTTAAACTTCAATATCATCGCACTGGAAAAATAATAATAATAATAGTCTTTATTGGGTTAAATAGAATATAACATCCAAGAGGCGAAGTTCAAAACTGCAGTGTAGAATACTACAGGTTTGTTCTACCAAACCTGTACTGCAGAATTCAAGTACCAGGTGTACCTCAGGGAAGTCATTGTTAGTAAAATGTATCCACTATTTGATAGTTTGTAGACGATCAACAGTGATTCGAAATCATCGAGTTGTTATAGAATTAAAAAAAAAATAGCTTAGTCTTCCCATCTTCCCCCAATAGGTATTGAATTATTCATGTGGATATCAATTAATTACAATTGTGGAAGAAATGCCTCAGAAATTGTAAGAATATTCGTTAGTGATAAATTTGTATTTGGATTCCAATCCACGAAATTCATTTATCAATTTTCATCATTGGGAAACAAAGTTGAAATGAAATTTTCGGATGTGTCTTCCTCAAAGCAGATTTTTACTGATTTTTACTCCTTAGTGACAATAAACTTCACTACTGTGATATAAAGGTATTTTTTATCTGAACTGACTTTGTTTTTTACTTGAAAAATGTGTTGCTAGTCAGGCCCTGTATTCGCACTCCAATCATGACAATTTTCTGCTTTTGTGTGACTAAGATTTTTGCCGTTTTGAGGCAAGCCGGTATAATTTCATAATTTGAGAGTAAAGAAGACAATTCTATCATGTACTCTCATAATCGAATAAAAAAAAATGTCCCAACTCAGTAACAAAGTTCTGGGGACCTCGTTCAGTTACGGAAGTCAAGCCAAACCACGCATTATTCACAACACTAGTGACATTCCATCGTTCATATCTTATCAAGGTAGTGCTGCTTGGTACTTAGGTTGGGTTAGGTCAAAAGGAAGTAGGTCTATTCGACCCTCCACCGCAACCCGCAAGGGTTCATTGTGGCTCATTGGGGTTGTATCAGACACAACATCGGTTCAGGGAGTACACCTTATTCTCTGACCCTCCAGAACGGTTAGGTTAGGTTAGGTTAGGAAACGAGTTTGAGTAAATCGACCAACGGCAACGAAGGAAGATTCAAGTTCTTCCTTTGCTGATCTACTCTTACACCAAAAGTTTGATATAATTATATGTTTCTATGATAATGAAAACGGATTTATCCTATTTATTCTCTTTAAAGAAATATTTTGAAGTGTTGATGTAATAATGCATTCCAAATTTTTATTATAATGATGCATCAGACTTAAACTCAAAAAGTGTTTCCTTCAGAAACGTATAATTTGTTTTCATTCAAGGGTATTATTGGTGAAGCTGGGCCTATGGGACCTCCAGGGGAACAGGGAGATGAAAGACGTGGTCCTCCAGGACCTCAAGGTGATGAAGGAGATCAGGGTCCACAAGGTGAAAAGGGCGAAGGATTTTCAAATGACACCTTAATCATAATTCCTACATATACTAACTTGAAAGGACAACCTGGAGAAAAAGGAGCGAAAGGAGAGATGGGTGACATTGGATTGAAGGGATATACTGGAGAGAGAGGTCCACCAGTGAGTATTCAATGCAGTTATAGAATCAAAAAAGAAAAACTGCTGCACCGTCATTAGGTACCTCTTTTTTTGTCAAATTCAAAAACGTATTCAAGTAAAGTATTCAAACAACACTTTTATTGCCTACTGAACCCGCCTGAGAGTTTGAAGTTTAGAAAATGTGGAATATGATCTATGAACAGCGATAAGGGTTCCGTTTTTCACTCTCTTTGGTAATAATCAAATATAGAAACCAGGCAAATAATAGGTACATAACAGAGTCACTAACATATACATTAGGATTTAGGAACTAACACAATACTAGGAATTCGTTTAATGGTCCCCATTTGATGACATTCAGGAATTCGTTTAATGGTCCCCATTTGATGACATTCATGGTCCGTGGTAGTGGGCTCAACAGTTTTATCATCCCCTGATGATGCTAACTTAGCTAGAAAAACGTGCGACGAGATTCATTCTGGTGTGGCAAAACTGTTTTCTTCATATCATAAATGAAATATTTTTCAATTGACAACTTTTGTTTTTAATTAGGGAATCCCTGGTCTGAAGGGCTCCAAAGGATACAAGGGTGATCTTGGTGTAGATGGTCCTTTTGGAAAACAAGGCAAAGAAGGTCCTTTAGGACCTAGTGGTGAAAAAGGAGATAAAGGAGCTCCGGGCTATGCAGGGGAAGACGGTTTAGACGGAGCTAAGGGTGAAATTGGAGAACCTGGGAGACCTGGAACTCCGGGTATTCAAGGTAGAGAAGGACCTCCGGGAGTTTATGACCCCACCTACGACGAAGCCGGTAAAGAAGGTAATATTGGAAGACAAGGTCCAGATGGACCCAGAGGTGATCGAGGAATGGCTGGAATTCCCGGAAAACCAGGCTCACCAGGGCCAGTTGGTGAAGCTGGTAAACCTGGACCACAAGGCCGACCAGGGTTGCCCGGTTTAAAGGGTATATCAGTGAAAGGAGAAAGAGGTCAAGATGGATTTTCTGGATTACAAGGACGAAGGGGCCCACCCGGACCACCGGGAGAACCTGGACTAATGGGAGAAAAAGGATTCAAAGGTGAACTCGTCTATGGTCCTCCTGGTCCGTCTGGAATTCCAGGAGTTCCAGGTTATGATGGACCTCCGGGAGAAAGAGGAGATTCCGGAGACCCAGGTCCAAAAGGATTTCCAGGCGTGGGTCAGCCAATAAGAGGCCCTCCTGGCGATCCAGGAGTTCGAGGATTACCTGGTTTTCCAGGAGATATTGGATACCCAGGAAGAGATGGATTCCCAGGTCTGAAAGGAAAACGAGGAGATGATTGTGGTGTATGCCAACCAGGTAAGTAGAGATTTATTTTTCAAATTCATTTCATAGTAAGTTGTATAGTTTCTTTGATGCAAAATCTATGACATTATCCAAATAGCAGATACATTTTTTGCTCTGCCTTTGCTTGATTTCTGTAATGGCATCGATAACAGGGAGTTTCAAAGTTTACGGAGAGTCGCTCGTTAGTGACACGAAAGGTCCTCATGGGCGCCGTGGCTATTTTGCCAAAACGAAAAATCCTTCAAAAATATCATAATATGAGAGTGTTTATTTCAGTTATTTTTTAGATATCAGGTTCAAGAGCTCTCTCGAAAGTAATCTGAATGTTACGGCCGCGGTGAGCATGACTTGTTTTGAATCGATCCCTGCTTTATGTTTCTCATAGACACACTTCCCAAAATGGTTTCATTCCGAAGATTTTGGTACCCCCATAGTCGTTCGGTGCCTATTTACGGGGTTGAAAATCCGTGTCTGAAACAATCATCAGTTTTTTTGTTACTTGCGATACCTGCGTATCCTGGCACCCAGTATATAGTCAGTCTATTTCTGTCCGCCAGCTTCCTCAGGCTCGATATCACTTTTGGGTTCATCATTGCCCCTAGTGCAGCGTGGCTGCACTTCAGCTGACCGAGTAAGTAACTGAAATGAAGATTTCTTCCCGCACAATAAGTTACAGCTCCTGTCGCATATTCGGTTTTTGACCCATCAGTATACCAGTTGTTCTTGGAATGGCTGTGTATTCTCTACTATTCGCGGTTTAAGACTTCAACCAGTTTGTGTCAAACATGTATTTTGGTGAATTTTTCGATCTGATTTTGAGAAGATTCATGCAGCTACTGGAGTGGTTCTCATTGCTTCCATTATTTTCAACTATACAAGCTTTTGCACCTTTATAGTGTGAATAGGTCAGTTGTAACTGACCAGCATCTGTGCTACCTTCGCCTTCCTTTCAACTCTTTCTATTTTTTGGTTCCACGTCAACCTGGAGTCTAGTATCACTCCCAGATATTCGATCTTCCCGGACAGATTCAGAGGTCCTAGGGCCTCTGCTTTGGTCGTCTTGGTGTTTGCTGCTATGGTCGATTTTTTGAGTTACTGTTCAGCCCTTCTTCATCGAACCATCTATTTTTAATATTCATGACTTGCTGCATGCATCCCTCCACTTATTATATTTGCTTTAATCTTGTAACTCTTTTTCAACAAAGTTCCATAAGTGAGGATAAAATCTCCCGAGGCAAACCTCTTGCTACCCATGCCACTACTGTCTCTTCCAATGTATACCAATTCCTCCAATTCCATCAAATTCGCTCTCTATATCTAAGAAAGCATCTGAAAGGCATTCTCGATCTTGTAAGCATATTCTGCTGTTTTCGTGACCCAGCCTTTTCCGTCGACATAAGAATCTCTATGCATATTGGTGTCTTCGCCAAGACCTACCAGATGTTCCCAAGTTTTGGAAAGACGGTGGCTCTTATCTGCCTCCATGTTTTGGTATGTATCCAGCATTACTGAGTAAATACCATCTGGTCCCTGCGAATGACTTCATGGCCCATTTGATTTTCTTCAAATCTACCAGCCACTCATTGTTGAATGCCTACACTTCTGAATTTGTTCAGAAATCCGGTGTTGGATTTGTTATTTCTGACCCGAGAAAGTGCACCAGCAGAAGCTTAAAGTCTCCCTTCCTATTTTTGTGTAGTCTCCAAAATTTGTTTTCACATTATTTATTGAGACCTGAGGTTTCTTCAAGAGTACCTTGTAGAGTTTTGCGCATACTTGGGTCTGTTCTCCTGGCATTGCGTTGCTAACTCCAATTCTGTAGGTATGCCTTATAGGCTTTCCAATTGATAGACAGTCAAATTATGTATACCGATGATCTGAAAACTTTCCTCATCAGACATAAATGTGGTACTTAATGTTGAGTCTATCACTTCCCACCGTTTCGTATTAACTAAGGTAGGTTTATTGCCTACGTTTAAAATATTCAAATTGTTTGTCATAATAAACTGTAGTGAATGTTCAGCTCTTTCATTGGTATTAATACTCTCTCGTGGCTTCACATAATTGGCTTCACAGCCAATTATGAACTGGAATGTATGTATGTATCTTTTCAGACTCACCTAATCAATCATTCGTTTCGATGAGTTACCATGATGTGTTTGGGAAAAAACATTATGGCCTTCACTTCTTATTAGTAATAAGAAAAAATAAACCATTGATGAAAATCGTCAAAAACAGTTCTGAAATCCGAAAAAAATCATCGAAAAACTTTATTGATTTCAATATTGAGCTTTTAATAATTCCAGTTCCAAGTCAAGTTCAACCACTCATTCAAAGGCTTCAATTTCGATTATTTTCAGGACGACCTGGTGACAAGGGGGACAAAGGAGACTCTGGAAGAAACGGACGTCCTGGAAATGTTGGTTATCAAGGTTTACCGGGAGCGCGAGGACCACCAGGTCTAGATGGTAAACCTGGACCAGTAGGTGAACCTGGTTTGGATGGAACACCTGGAACAGATGGTATAGAGGGACCTCCCGGACCTGAAGGACCTCCTGGATTACTGACCTACCCATCTATAAAAGAAATAAAACCCGATCCTGCCGACGAAGGTGACAGCGGATTCTCAGGACCAACTGGTCCAGAAGGAGCTCCAGGTCCTAAAGGTATTATTGGAGATTATGGATTCATGGGGTTGAAAGGAGAAAGGGGAGAGGACGGTCGACCAGGAATACCCGGAAGTGATGGTATCCCTGGAACTCCAGGATATCCTGGAGAAAAGGGAGAGCCCGCCGATATTCCCAAAGAACTACTACGAGGCGACAGAGGATTCAGAGGACCACGGTGAGTCTTTGAAAAGTAGCAGTTCCCATTTAATTTTGTATATAGGTGTTTATGTATGCATAGTAATTAATTTAAGATAATTCACGGCTTCGCCATGTGAAAATAGAAATATAATTCCATTCAAATAGTACAGTCATTAACAGTAGCTTACGACAAATTACTTCAAAATTATAATAATTCAAAATCAACTGCATACAAAAGAAATCCCGTTCATTTGTGGAGCCGGTTTGGTTTGTGTGAGTGATTTGTGTTACTCATTCAATCGATGGTTATCTTGAACGACGGCTCTAAGGCCGGACAATCGATCTGCGTTTAGTTCAACGCGTAATAGGAATCGCTCGTTGACAGTGAATACTGTATAATATGAGATGGAGAATTTATAAGAAAAGTTGTCAAAAGCATTCCCCTTGTTATAAATCGTTATTGGGAAGTGGCTTAGAGAAGAATATAAGAATACCTACAAAAATAATGGTATGATCCGCACTTGCGTAAGATCTTCCTAAAATAATACCGATCTATTACGAAGAATCAGAAGAAAGTGACACCGAAATGAATATTTTTTTCGAATTATTTTAGCCATCTGATAAACATCAGTACATCGTGAAACAAATACTGTGAATTGAAATAATTTGTAATTTCTGCGCATGACATGATTCCTTTAGAAAATATTTTTTTAATTTTCAGTGGTGAGCCAGGCGAACCTGGATTGAAGGGTGCAAAAGGTGAGATAGGACCAATAATAGGAATGTTGATAGACAAAACAGGAAGTAAAGGGAAAAAAGGAGAGTTCGGAGACCAAGGTAATTTATAGATCTTCTCTCAGAAGAATGTCATAAATAATAAAACTACGATTTTTAGGATTTGACGGAAGGAGAGGTCCAAAAGGTTTCAAAGGTTTCGCAGGTTGGCCAGGACCACCTGGTCTTCCTGGAAATCAAGGAATAACATATGAGGGACCTATGGGATTCAAAGGATTTCCAGGGATACCTGGGGACGAAGGACCAAGAGGATCGCCAGGACAGCCCGGAAAACCTGGATTTGACGGAATCCCAGGAGTTCAAGGTCCAAAAGGTGAACGTGGAGATTATGGATTGGCCATTCTGAATGGTGAAATCGGATTACCAGGTCCAGTTGGACCCAAAGGTGAACCCGGAGACTTCGGACCAGATGGACGACCTGGAATTCCGGGTTGGCCAGGAATAAAGGGTGAGAAAGGTCCAAAAGGAGCTCCTGGATTCTTTGGCGTAACTGGATTACCAGGAGCCAAAGGTCCAAGAGGAATAATTAGGCCTGGACCACCTGGTAGGCCAGGATTAACGGGACAACCAGGATATCCCGGACAGTTCGGTGAAATTGGTCAAAAAGGAGATGACGGGCTCCCAGGACCCATGGGTTTACCAGGTGCTAAAGGAGAACCGGGACAAGAAGGGTTGAGAGGTCCACAAGGTAAGTCAATTCATCCTGTTTATCCTTTAAGTATGAAAACTATCAATCTTCCATCCAAGAATAAACCGAAAAATTCAAAATGTTTCATAAACAAAAGAATAATTTGATTATTTAGCTAATAGGTCTGTACAAAAAATTTTCGTGAATGTGTTATAATGTTATCACAATTGAACTGATTTCAGCTGCATTAAAAATAGTTTACCATTCTTTAAAACTCTTTCCGGTATGGAGGTATACGTTTTTTAGCAAACAATCGGCTTCGTCTGATGCATGGTGGTATAAAATACGTTTCACCATTTTCAAATGTTCACCCTGCGGTTATTCAGCTAAAATATCGATCTGTATAACGGGTTTCTTCGTAAATATTTGTACCCGAGAAAGATGGCGCTAGCTAGCAGGTTATGAAACTACGGAATCCCTAATATGAGTTATCGACAGCAATGATGAAGAACTGATTATATCTGATATAATTTCAGAAGATGAACGTGAAGATGTTTCGAATATTATAAATGCAGAAGTAGAAATTCAGAAAGAAAATGAGTTAAAATCAGAAATGATACTTGTGGAACTACTGAGAAGAAATCCTGGATTGACACCTGAAAAATTGGAGAGGATGCGAAAGAAACCATTACAGGATACTGTGAAGTGGAATAAAGTGCAAACAGTTGACGAACATCTCCCTTTCATTGAACCTAACCAAATACCTGATTTTGTTATAAATTTGAATGACGTAACTTCAGGGAAACTGTTCCAACTCTTTATAACTATTAATGATGTGGATTATATTGTATTTCAAACAAATTTGTACACCCAACAAAGATATTAACATTGACACGAGGCAATGATAATATCTTCCGGAGAAATCAATCAAAAGAGTGTATTAAGTGTGGTGCTTTGCTGATGAAAATGGCTACTGGAAAATATTTCAGATAGATACAAAAAAAGTTGAAGATACCGTCGAGAAGGAATTGGGCCCACGTGTTGTTACAGGTTCATGAAAGAAGCTGGAGAACAAATATCAGCAACTTTATTTTGACGATTACTTCATTGGAGTAAACTTGATGGGAGAGCGAAAATAGACAAAAATTCACGCTTTTGGAACAATAAATGGAAATAGAGGAAACTTGCCTCCATTTTTGTTTTGCCTTACCTCCAAAAGAGTTTCAAAAGAGGGGAATATGACTACTTTGGTAATGATAAGGAAATTAGTACTGCAAAATGAATAAAGGCCGATGATTCAACTACTTTTGTACGTTGTCCAATACTTCTGAGTGATTATAATATTGGGTTGTTACAAAATCATCAGCATAAACATTGGGTGCTCGAGATTCAGTGAGACCACCATACAATGGTCTTTTTTGGCGATTTTTGGCCAATTTTTCTCTACGAATTCGAATTGAACCAAAGCGCTGCCGAAACAGCCGTAAAACTAATCAGACATTTGGCAATCATAGTCTTAATGAACACCCTGTTTGCCGTTGGTTTGCGAAATTTCGTTCCGGAGATTTTAGCCTTGAAGATAAGCCCCAAAGTGGTCGACCTACAGTAATCCAGGACGATAATTAGAGGACCCTGGTTCCGACTCCTTACAAATGGTGTGTGAGATGTCAAAAAATCTGGGCGTCATCTCCCATGCGGTTTTTGATGATTTAAAACGTTTTGGAAGGTCAAAAGCTCGAAAATTGGATACCTCACGATTTGAACGGTCATCAGAAATTGTCACGTTCCGGAGTCTCTGTTCTTCTTTGCTTTTGCACAACCAAAACCATTCTTTTTTTGATCGGATCGTCATCTATAATGGAAAGCAGGAGACGTTCGGTACAGTAGTTAGATACCGATGAGCCACTCAGCCCTAAAGCGAAAACCCACCATTAGGTACTATATAGTTGTTAGAGGCTGATGTGATTCACCATAACTTTCTGCAACCGGGCCAAACCGTCACAGCAGGAAATCGACGAAGAGTGCCGAAAATTGCATCAGCCAGCAGCTGCCCGCACGTTTCAAAAATCACCGTCCGAAACTTGAACGAATTGAGTTTTGCCTTCGTCGACTTCATCGAATCCCAAGGACACAATTTTCATACTGACGGATTTAATCGCCTTGTGTTATATTGGCATAATTTTTGAATACTCATTTTTAGACCTCCTGTCATGTTTTCTAGACTCTACCACATCTGCAGGACACCGTTTCCATAGCGAAATAACGCGCCTTATTGATGCTGGCGAGTGCCCTGTTGGAATATTTTGTGATCTCAGCAGGGGTTTTGACTGTGTGGATCATCATATTTTGATAAAGAGGCTATACCATAATGGTGTAAAAGATAATGCACTTACATGGATTAAAAGCTTTCTACAAAATCGCGGACAGTATGTATGTTTCAGAAATGAACCATGCAATAAGTTGAGGGTTACAAATTCTCTGCAGACTTTATCCAAACTACTCTGTCAAGATGGTTGTTCTGATTATTGGAGTCGTTGGTCCCCTTTCTACTCTAGAATTTCAAAATTATGCCGGCTTGCCGCAATAAGGCAGAAATTTCAACCAAGTAAATGCAGGGCACATGATTCTCGGACCCAATGATCACTTACCCCACGGTGTGGGGAGTGGTCGTTGGTTGATAATGTGTCGGGACTTCGGGAGGTAGGGCCTGACCAGCGCAAACTTAGATTAAAAAAATAATAGTAATAGGTAATTCACCCACAGGAATTACATCGCAATCGTTCACTATCAACCGACAAAAAATTAACATACATTCACACATACAAAAAGGAGTCATAATCAATATCTGTAACATTATTATTTTTTTTTTCACCGTAGTGTGCGCTGGTCAGGCCCTATCCCCCGAAGCCCCGATACATTCGGAAGGGCACGCCAGCATAATCAACCAATGACCACTCCCCACACCGTGGGGTAAGTGATCATTGGGTCCGAGAATCATGTGCCCTGAGCAAACGCAGTGAGCCANTGTTTTTGAAACTATTCACTGAGTCAGAATTCATAACATCGTTGGGTACGTTACTCCATGTTTCGAAAATACGATTCACCAAAAAATATTGTCTCTGCCTCGTTGCGAAGTTTTCCTTTTTTAATTCGAGTGTGTGACCACGTAACCGCGAATCATTGTTGAAAACAAAAAGTTCTTTCTGATTAGCATAGTTATACTTAGCTATACGGAAAGAGTCGACGTCAAAAGTCAAAAGCTAGCAGTTGTGCCATCCTCAGTCTTTCGGGATAGGTTGGACGCACTTCACCAAAAGTCATACGTGTGGCTCGACGCTGTACATTTTCCAACAAGTCCCTATCGCGCACCAGAACAGGACACCACACTGGACCTGCATACTCCATGATTAGACGAACGTCGGTTTTGTAGAGTTTTATTGAACTTGAATATGATAGATGGAGGAACGTTTTGCGGATGAGGTAAATCAATATGTTTGCGCGTTTGCATGTTGATATTATATGTTCAGACCAAGTTAAGTCGGTATTAATAGTCACTCCCAAGTCTACATGTGAGGACACTGTACGTAATGATTGACCGCTTATTGGGTACGTATGGAGTGGATTGTTCTTTCCTTGATAAAGTACGACGCATTTGTCGACGTTGAGAGGTAAAAGCCAATCCTCGCACCACTGACTAATCGAGTTGAGGTCTTCTTGAAGGGAATGATGTTCGACTTGGGCATTTCCATACAGTTTAGTATCATCGGCATAAAACGACTTGCTGGACTTTACGTGAAGAGCAAGATCACTTGCATAAACAACGAAGAGGAGCGGGCCAATAACAGATCCCTGGGGAACTCCACTTGTGACTTGTCTGTGCGAAGAAAAAGAGTGACCCACTTTGACCGAGAAAGTTCTATCTGTCATGTAATTTTCAATCCATAGGTTTAGTTGGCCTCGAATACCGTGTGTGTCAAGTTTGTGCATTAGTCTCCTCACTGGGACCCTTTCGAAAGCCTTGGAAAAGTCAAGATAAACGATTTCTGTCGGTATTTTCCTATCGTAAGCTGTCGTCCAATCGTTCATGCATTGTAGTAGATTAATGGTGGTTGATCTACCTTTGACGAAATCATTTTTTTCTGGTGGTATAATTGCGATTTTTGTTAAAAAATCTGACATATCTTTTACGATGATGGATTCCATTAGTTTGGAAGGTACAGATAAAAGACTAATGGGCCTGTAGTTAATTGGATTGAGTTTATCGCCTTTTTTGAAAATAACGGTGACAGATGCCTTCTTCCAAGCCCGTGAGATGCGAGATTTTGCGAAAGAGACTGACATAATTGTTGACAAAGGAGAGCAGAGAGTTTCGGCAAACTTTTTGAGAAAAAAGGGGCTCATTCCATCCAAACCAGGAGATGAATTCGATTTAATGTTCAATAAATGATTTTTAATTTTTTCCGAAGTAAACGACACATTAGTCAGATTATCACGTAGTCGCTCTGCTATAATTTTTGGTAAGTGGTCATCTCGAGGCTCGACCGTGAAGGAGCTTGTTAAAGAATCGGCCAAAATATCTGCTGATTCGATGTCTGTAGAACACAAGGAACCGTCAGGTTTTCATAGGAGCGGAATGCTTACTTTGGTGTTCAGGTTAGATCGTATGAACTTGTACTTGTACGAACTCACGACGTGAAGATCGTATTATTGATACCAAGTGTTTTGAAAAATTTCGATGAGCTTGGTAATCTTCTTTTGTATCTTTTCCAGAGTCTTTTTTCGTGAGATATGAGTGACATTATTTCGGCATTGATAAATGGTTTGTTGCGGGAGTTAGCAGAGGCAGTTACGGTCGAGTAGAATTTTTCCCAGAGGATATCAACGTCATCACATGCATTAAACAGTTGTGTCCAATCGATGGTAGAAAGTTTCTCGGATAACTGATCAAAATCGATTATTTTGAAAACTTCGATTTCGTACTTGTTTGGCATGTGAATGTTGAGCTGAACAGTTGCGTAGATTACTGCATGGCCTGATACTCCAATTGGTGATAGGATTTCATAATCTGTGATGATGTTTTCATCGTTGGTAAAAATGAAGTCAATAACAGATGGCTCGTTGTTGATTCGGAATCTAGTTGGTTCAGTGATAAGTTGAAAAAGGTTTGAATCAGCAACGAAATGCATGAAATTATTCGTGGCGCTATTTGCGTCAGGTATACTATTAATGGGCCAAGTGATCTTGGGGTAGTTAAAGTCACCAGCAATGATGAAGTTGTCAAGGGTCGATAGTTGATTTAAGTAATTGATCAATTGGACATTGGCTCCATGGGATACATCATTAAGTCTGTAGATACATACAATAGTTATGCTGACAGTTTCCTTGGTAAGGCTGACATGTAAGCCCTCCACGCCTTGGATCACGGCAATATCTTGTTGAACTGCAAAATCGGTTATGATCTCATTGCATAAATATATACATAATCCACCAATGACATGATTTAATCTGTCCGCTCTGTAAATACTGTAGCCTCTTATGTTAACCAATGAATCTGGGTCGTTTGGTTTAAGACATTTTTCGGTTAGTAGTATTATGTTAGATTTGAGAGCAACTATGTCACATATGAGTTCGTAAAATTTAGCAGATAATGAGTCTAAGTTAGTCTAAAGAAGTTTCCAGCATAGATACAGCAGTTGTTGGTTATTGTTAGAGGTTAAATGGTCCGTAAATGTTTAGAACCACTAACATGAAAAACAAAAACCCTGTACAATATCCCTACACGGAATAAATCCCAGTGTAGGGACCAAATACCAGTGAAAATAAACTCCTAATATACAATATAATACAATTCCATAATAGTAGGCACTGAATTCTCTGGAATATTATTGCATTAAAACGAAAACATTTTTGTCAAGGTTGTGATTCTATATTTCATCATCATTTCTCCACTGCAAGAGACAAATTAAGGAAAAAAAGGCAGTCATTTCTGAGAATTTAGTGCATGCTATTTTGGAAATATAGTATATGATGGTATAAATCATTAAAAAAGTTATGAATGACAAAATGTTATAATGTTTTTGTTTCAAATTTTGTAGGAGATGAAGGACCGGTAGGATATGAAGGTCATAGAGGAAAATCCGGCACAGCTGGAGTGCCAGGACCACAAGGCGAAAGGGGAGATCTTGGATTCCCAGGTGAACGTGGTCCACCTGGTCCAAAGGGATTGCTAGGATCTCCAGGTCGAAAGGGTCCAAAGGGAGATGCTGGTTTCCAAGGAGCAGACGGTTTTCCTGGTGAACCAGGCTTTGATGGACTAATAGGAGATAACGGATTACCTGGTCTACCGGGAGAAAAGGGTGACTCAGCGATCAGTGGTGAAAAGGGAGATCAAGGTGAACCTGGTTTAGTTGGATTCCCCGGTTTTGATGGTAGACCGGGAGAACCCGGTCTAGCTGGATTGCCAGGAGAGCCTGGAATAGATGTTGTTGGTCCTCCAGGTTTGAAAGGAGAAAGGGGAGAAGCTGGTTTAGACGGATTAGATGGCATCCCTGGTCTTGTAGGTGACAAGGGTGACTATGGTTTACAAGGTTTCCGAGGACAAACTGGAGAGAATGGTACAGCTGGATATCCTGGTTCACCAGGCTCAAATGGCTTGTTTGGAATAAAAGGAGAAAGGGGAGATTTCGGTATACCGGGACTTAATGGTTCAGTGGGAGAACGTGGAATCGAGGGAGAGCCTGGCTTAATGGGAAGACCGGGTTTACCGGGTGACGATGGTTTTCCTGGGTTGCCAGGTTTGAAAGGAGTTAAAGGTCCAAAGGGTAATCAAGGACTTCCTGGAATCGCTCCTTACGGGCGTGCAGAAAAAGGAAACATGGGAGATATTGGTATGCATGGGTTGCAAGGTGAGAAAATATTGATTTATTGCTTTTAAGGATAAATTAGCCGTAGTTTTTCGACTGATATTGATGATAGTACATATTCAGAAGTTCATATATTTCATATTTTTGTAGGTCTGAAAGGAATAAGAGGTGATGTTGGATATCCAGGAATACGAGGATCTCGCGGACAACGAGGTGATACCGGATTTCCAGGCCTCACTGGCGAACCTGGATTTCCTGGCTTGAATGGGCTTAGGGGAGATACTGGTCCTCAAGGACTACGAGGTTTACCTGGACAAAATCCAGAACAAGGTGAACAAGGGGAGCCAGGATTTGACGGTAAACCAGGTCAACCTGGTCGACCTGGTCAAAAAGGAGCTCCGGGTGAATTTGGTTTCGATGGTCCCATAGGACGTGCGGGAATTCCAGGACTTGGTATGCCAGGAGTAAAAGGAATGAGAGGTAATGATGGTGCTGTCGGCTTGCCTGGTAGGCAAGGATCACAAGGTGAACCTGGATTTGATGGAAGGGAAGGGCGTCCTGGATTGAAGGGACAAACAGGTGATTACGGTTTTCCATCATTCAGTGCTAAAGGTGCAACCGGTGATATCGGGTTCCAAGGAGCACCTGGAATCAATGGTACGAAAGGAGAGCGTGGTGAACCGGGGTTGAATGGCTTGCCAGGAGAACCAGGGCCTCAAGGTTTTAAAGGTTTCCCAGGAGACTTTGGGCGAGATGGTATTCCCGGAAGATCAGGTGCGAAAGGTCATAAGGGTGAAAGGGGGGATTACGCCGCTGATGCGTTACCGGGTGAAACTGGTGATGTTGGTTTGCCTGGATTTGATGGACCACCAGGACTACCGGGTCTATCCGGACTGCAAGGGCTTGCAGGAATGAAGGGAGAAAAGGGAAACATTGGGGATATAGGAGTAGCTGGGCTTCCAGGTTTCACAGGGCCTAAAGGATCGCAAGGAATGCAAGGATTTGAAGGATTCGTAGGTGCTAAAGGTTATCGAGGTCCTATTGGAATAAGAGGAGATCCAGCTCCACAATACAGTGGACCAAGTAGCAGAGGTTTTTATTTCACTCGACACTCTCAGTCAGAAATTGTACCGGTTTGTCCGAAAGACACCATCCTGATGTGGGAGGGATATTCTTTGCTGCACATAATGGGAAATGAAAAATCACATGGACAAGATTTAGGTAATATAGTTAGAGTAGACCCCAAACTTCAATAATGTGAACTGATTTTAGGTGCACCTGGAAGTTGCTTGAGGAGGTTCAATACTATGCCATTTTTGCTTTGTAACATCAATGATGTTTGTGACTATGCTCAAAGTAACGAATATAGTTACTGGTTATCCACCACCGAACCTATGCCTATGACAATGACTCCAATTGATGCTCAAAACTTACAGAGATACATTTCAAGGTAAAGATCTATACATCTTTAAAAGACAGAGTTGAACGTTATTCGTAATTTCTCACTTTTGGTGCCTCAAACACTCCCTACAGTGATTCGAATAGGCTTCAATTCCATGGCATATACAGGGTGTCCCTGGACTTCCTCTTTTCTTCTCGGGAATTTCACAGCCA